GTTGAAAAGTTTCTCTTTGACAACATGCATACTAGAAGATAAAATGTGGCAGATGTGTTATCTGTGTTATCTTGCTAAACTGGCAATGAATTTGCCATTTTATGAGTTTCCTTCTCTCTGTATCACATACTTGAAGTTTGTATTCTGCCTACTGTACGTATATTCTTCTAGCTCAGATAGACATTTTTATTGAGTAAAAATTAAGGGATTCTTTGTAAGGGATACATAATCGCCATATATTTAGTTGCAAAAGGCAGTAGATTATAAATTGAACATCTCTTATCTGGAGTTTCAAAATCTGAAATACACAGAAAATAAAGTTAGTTTCATTCATATAATTATTTAAAACTGTATAAAATGATCGGCAGGCTAAGTGAAACAAAATGAATTTTGTATTTGGACTTGGGTCTCATCTCCAAGATACCTCATTCTGTATATATATGCAAATACAGGTATTCCAAAATCCATAAGAAAAAAAATCCAAATTGAAAACACTTATGGTTTCAGGCATTTCAGATAAGGAATACTCAGCTAAAATAAGGCATAGTAGTTTTCTTGAACATACATCTTAGAAGACACCTTTACTGCTTTAAGTTCACTATTAAGCTGAATAGTGACCACTCTCTCATATAGATTCAAGTAAGGGAATGGCAGGGAACTGGGTCATCACAAAGTGGGCATGTACTCAGACATAAATCTTCAGATCCATCCTTCTCTCTTCTCTTTCAAACTCACTGCTCCCCGACACTGCAGTGTGGTTTTTGAAAAAGCTTTGTTGTCAAAAAGGCAGTGGACAAGAAGTTCAACAGGAGCTCACAGCACCAGAGAGTGTAATATTAGTCCTTCTGCCTCCACCGGCAACTATCCCCCCCCCCCCACCACCACCATACAATCCCCATGTTGTGCAGTATAGACTTTTAAAAGCAATTTTTACCAGCTGAGATTTTCTAAAAGGCTGAATACAGGGAGTCAGTTTAGAGAGGTGGAATTTCACAGCATAGGCTGAAAAGGGTTGTTCATCTTCCACCCCTGAAAAAAAAAATCATTCCATTGTCAGCAGTCAGCAATTGGAGATAATACATTTCCTTGTGATGCATTTAGAGAATAGAAAGAGAGAATCAAATATATTATCTTTTGAAGGGAGTGAGAAGGCCATGTGAAAGAAGTTTACAGCTAAATTTTGAATTCCCAGAGGCTGCATTAAACCTGCAGGATGAATTCTCATAGGTTGTATTAGAGCTGCAGGATAGAGGTAACATTTCAGTAAGAAGGGCAAGTGTGGAAAGCATTATTAATAACTTTGTAGACTGAGTAACGTCTACAATTTATTTTATGTTATTTAAAAGAACAAATTTGCACAACTAAATAATTGATCGTGAACCAGAAGAACTGTGGACCAATATCATAGATAACATCAGGAAAGAATGCAAAAAGACTATTGGTAGTCATAAAGAAAGAAGAACCTCTTTGAATGACTGATAAAACTCTTAAATATTTGCAATGTGTGTGAACTGGGACTCTTCTCCAACTAGCTCTCTGCAGAGGTCATCCACCAAGGCGACCAAAGCTGTCTCCATTCCATGACCAGGCCTAAAACCAGTCTGCAAGAGATCAAGTTACCTCTCAGAGGTATCTCTCTGCATGACTACTGGGGCTGCTAGATGAGAGTTACATTAGTCCCTGCATGTCTTGCATACCCAGATGCCAGCGTTCTCACCCCCATACAAAAGCACTGTAATCTTTTGAAGGACATTTTAAGCAGCAACAAAAGTACACTTGTGTTCAGTCATTTTCCTTTGAATGGATTTTTATTTTTTGGAAGACTAAATTCAAAATGAACCTGTCTTATGCTTGTCATCCACAGCAAAAAAAAAAAAAAATCCCAAGAGGTGCAGGTAAAGGTGAAGAGGTCAACTTCTTTTTGATTTTTTTAGTTGCAGATCTGGGACACAGCTGGTCAGGAAAGGTTTCGGACCATTACTCAGAGTTATTACCGAAGCGCCAATGGAGCTATCCTGGCCTATGACATCAGCAAGAGGAGCTCTTTCCAGTCGATTCCTCGCTGGATCGAGGATGTGAGGAAGTATGCAGGCTCCAACATAGTACAGTTGCTTATTGGTGAGTGTGGTAGGTTATTTCAATGCATGGGGAGTAGAAATTATAATAGAAATAGTTTCAGAGACACTAGCAAATGATAGTTGTTGTGTGCCTTCAACTTCTTTTTTACTTGGGTCAAATGTAAGCTGACTATCCTAGCATTTTCTTGCCATGGTTCATTCAGAGAAAATTTTCTATTGCCCTTGTGTAAATTTTCTATTGCCCTTGTGTAAGTTACCCAGTGGATTTCCGTGGCTGATCTCCCAAAGTCCCTAACCCATCACTACACCAGTTTGTTGCTGGCTCTCTTAATTGTAGGTGATCAAGCAGAGTTATATTTCTGTTTCCAATACATCTTGATGATGAATAAATTTTTCGCACTTATTTTAGCAGATTAAATTGATTCACCGAGGAGCTGGCAGCGATGAAGCGAAGGAAGAGGGAACTAGAGAGTGTGTGGCGTTCGGATCCGAGTGAGCCAAATCGAACACGGTTTGTGTCCTTTTTAAGGGCATATGCCGCGGCAATAAAAGCCGCAAAGAAGGCCTTCTTTGCGGCCACTATTGCGTCTGCAAAGAACCGTCCGGCTGAGCTGTTCCGAATTGTCAGAGGCCTTTTAAATCCCACCACTCAAGGTGGGAACCCTGACGATTTGACTTCTCGCTGTGAAGCTTTTGCTCAGTTCTTTGCAGACAAAGTCGCTTTGGTCCGTTCTGGTCTGGATACCATGTTAATGGCAGTCTCTGAGGATGAAACACGAGCACCTGCTTGTCCAGTTTTGATGGATTCATTTCAATTGGTGAAACCCGAGGATGTGGACAAGATACTTGGAGGAATGAGGCCAACCACATGCATCCTGGACCCCTGCCCATCCTGGCTTCTAAAGGAGGCCAGAGGGGGATTGGCTGAGTGGGTTAAGGTGGTGGTTAATGCTTCCCTTCGGGAAGGCAAGATTCCAGCGAGCTTAAAACAAGCTATAATAAAACCGCTGTTGAAGAAACCATCACTGGACCCCACTAAATTCGACAACTATCGGCCAGTTTCCAATCTCCCCTTCTTGGGCAAAGTCTTGGAACGTGTGGTAGCCTCGCAACTCCGGGAATTCCTGGTGGACACGGACTATCTAGATTTGGCACAGTCTGGCTTTAGGCCGGGACATGGTACCGAGACAGCCTTGGTCGCCTTAGTGGATGATCTGCGCCGGGAGCTCGACAGGGGGAGTGTGTCCCTGTTGGTGCTGCTGGACCTCTCAGCGGCCTTCGATACCGTCGACCACGGTATCCTTCTGGGATGCCTCGCGGGGATGGGTCTTGGAGGTACTGTTTTGCAGTGGCTCCGGTCATTCCTGGAGGGTCGATCTCAGAAGGTGTTGTTGGGGGACACCTGTTCAACCCCACAACCATTGTCTTGTGGGTTCCTCAGGGCTCAATATTGTCTCCCATGTTGTTTAACATCTACATGAAGCCGCTGGGGGAGATCATCCGGAGTTTCGGGGTACGGTGTCATCTGTACGCGGATGATGTCCAACTCTGTCACTCCTTTCCACCTGCTACTAAGGAGGCTGTCCAGGTCCTGAACCGGTGCTTGGCCGCTGTAACGGTCTGGATGAGGGCGAACAAATTGAAATTGAATCCAGACAAGACAGAGGTACTCCTGGTCAGTCGCAAGGCCGAACAGGGCATAGGGTTACAGCCTGTGTTGGATGGGGTCGCACTCCCCCTGAAGACGCAGGTTCGCAGCTTGGGAATGATCCTGGACTCATCATTGAGCCTGAAACCCCAGGTTTTGGCAGTGGCCAAGGGAGCATTTGCACAGTTAAAACTCATGTGCCAGCTGCGCCCATACCTTAGGAAGTCTGACTTGGTCACGGTAGTCCATGCTCTGGTTACATCCCGTATAGACTACTGCAACGCTCTCTACGTGGGGTTGCCTTTGAAGACAGCTCGGAAGCTACAACTAGTCCAACGCTCGGCAGCCATGATTTTAACAGGAGCGGAGCGCAGGGAGCATACAACCCCCCTGTTGCGCCAACTCCACTGGCTACCGATCTGCTACCGGGCTGAATTCAAAGTGCTGGCGTTGGCCTTTAAAGCCCTAAACGGTTCCGGCCCAAGCTACCTATCTGACCGCATCTCTGCCTATGAACCCACCAGGACTTTGAGATCTTCCGGGGAGACCCTGCTCTCGATCCCGCCTGCTTCTCAAGCTCGGCTGGCGGGGACGAGAGATAGGGCCTTCTCGGTGGTGGCTCCTCGGCTGTGGAACGCCCTTCCTACGGACATTAGACTAGCACTATCTCTAATGGTATTCCGCAAAAAGGTGAAGACCTGGATGTTTGTGCAGGCGTTTGAGTAATCTAGTGCAATCTGGTAATGGAACATAGGAATGGAACAATGGACGACGAACCTGGACTACGCTTGGATGATGAGAAGATTGGGTACAGTTGTTTTTTGTAATAATTGTGCATTGTAATTGCTTATTGGTAATTTATGGATAATGTGTTAAGTCAATTGTTATATGTTGTATGGAACCACTGCTGTTTCTACTGTTTTACTGTTTGTGAACCGCTGTGAGTCGCCTTCGGGCTTGAGATACAGCGGTATATAAGCAAAGTAAGTAAGTAAATAAATAAATAAATAAATAAATTGCTGTCCTGGTCACTAAGAGAAATTGTCAAAATTCATAATGTGTCTTTTAAAAAAAGTATCAGTTACTTTGATTTCCTGCCTTTCTTTCAGTGAGCTTGTGGTTTTCTTTCCTCCTATTTGATCTCATGACAGCCCTGTGGGGTAGGTTAGGCTCAAAGGGAATGACTAAATTAAGGTCATCTAGCGAGTTTCATTTTTGATACTTCTAGTAGTTGGTTGAGATTGCTATAGCTGTCCATGTCTTTCCCAAATTTTGTATTTAAAAACACACTGTGGATGCAGGCGAAACATCAGGAGAGAATGCTTCTAGAACATGGCCATACAGCCAGAAAAACCAACAACAACCCAATGATTCCGGCCATGAAAGCCTTCAACAATACACTGTGGGTGGTCATCTTTTGGAAATGGTTTTGTTATATATTCCTGACTGGCAAGAAGTTGAACTAAATGGTCATTGTGGTTGCTTCCAACACTGTGATTTCATGATTCTATTATTGTGCTTTAATCTCTCATCCTGGGATGTGGTAGTTAAAAATTATGCAAATATGTTCAATTCCAATAGACTTGTCAAGCTTTTAAATAGCAAGGGCTATTTATGAATTCAGATATAATCGCAATGGTAGACTGTACTGTCCATTTGGTCAAGTAAGTAACTCAGTATCAAGTATTTTTCTGAGGCTGGAAGTAGAAAGCTTGTAGATATTCATTTTCATTCTCTCACCTGCCTTGAGTTCAAATTTTGGGAAGAAGGCAGAGTATGAAAAAGGTTTTCAAGATGACGACAATAATATTAGTTCCTGAAATAAATGCAATAAAAGATAAGGATGGGAGACTGTATGCCAAGCATGGGCAAACTATGGCTCTCCGGGTGTTTTTGACTTCAACTCTCATAATTCCTAACAGCCAGTAAACTGGCTAGGAGTTCTGGGAGTTGTAGTCCAAAACAGCTGGATGGCCGAAGTTTTTCCATACCTGCTGTATGCATATTGCATATGCTGCAGCAAAGACAATAATGTGTCTCATGGCACCTTAAAGACTAGAAAGGTTTATTTAGCAGCCCACTTCATCAGATCCAACATGAAAGGTTATGCAAATCAAACTTGTTAGTCTTCATAGTTTAAAATATAGATTAAGATCAATTGTTACAGAACTGATAGATGGATGGAATGCATAGAGCTATTATGACATAGAATTTCAGTGTTGAAGATGTATGCTTTGTTATCATTAGAATACGATTATACACAGAATTTGAATCCTGGATGTGATTTGTATATCAATTCAGAATCCAGAGGGCAAATCTTATAATATGCAGTGGCTCAGATTTCTTCATCCTTCTTCCACAGACTTTCTCTCAACTTCCACTTTCTTCTGCTCTTTCTCACCTCCAAGATAACAGTGGCATCTCATCTCCAACCTTCTATATGCTTCACCTTTGGTGTCCTACTGCTCTCCATGCGACCCTGCTGTTGTCTCCTTTTTCCCCTTAGACTCTTCTTGTTGAACACTGACCTCAGGAGTTACATGTTTAAAAAATTGTTAATCTGTCAACAATTCCACTTTCTCCTGCCAGGAAACAAGTCTGACCTAAGTGACCTTCGGGAGGTTCAGCTAGAGGAGGCTCAGAGTCTGGCTGAACGCTATGATATCACCTGTGCCATAGAGACATCTGCGAAGGACTCCAGCAATGTGGAGGAGGCTTTTGTAAAGATGGCAACAGAGCTCATGATGAGGCATGGAGGCCCCATGTTCAGTGAGCCAAACACAGACAGCATCAAACTTGACAGCAAGGATGTAGTAGAAGGATGGGGGTGTGGCTGCTGATACAGTTTATGAAAAATCTCTTTCATTGTGACTGGAATCTAGTGTACCTTCCCTTCCCAGTTCTCCAGCTGCCACTCTCTGAATCTGGTGTCAACTTTCTGCCAGCCCAGTGCATTTGTGGGTTAGATATTAACGTTTGTGGGTTGTTCTTAATTCTGAAAGGACTGTTAGATAAAGCTAGAAGTTCGTGGCAGTAGTGTCTGCCAGGTTCTCCTAACAGGAAGCAGAGCAGTTTGAAAATGAATTGCACAGAGAGAACTTACTGAAATCTTTCTGTACAGAAAGGGCATGGACAGGGAAATGCTGCAGTGTCAGTTGTAAATCCTTGTGTGTGGGACCTCCTCAGTGAAACAACACTTCTATTTTTAAGTGAGCAAGGCCTCGTTAAACACTTAACATTCCACCAAGTATTAGAATTCTAATAGGGCTACACTGTTTTTCTGAATGAGTGTTACAGATAAGAAATACTTGAGTCATTTTCTCATAGGACAAAGCAACTGGCATTTGTCCAGACTGAGGAACCTCCATAGAAGTTAAGTTTCCCTAGACACTGAAATTATACCCTATGTGAAGGGAGAGGATAGGCTTGCACAGATTTCCCCCTTTGGTGTTTTTCAGACAACTAGAGAAACCAGCATGAGCAGTACTGTACATCTATGTGATGTAAGAGTCAATAATTTACCTTAATATCCACCGCAAGAAACTTGTCATAGTCATTGGATGTAGGACTCACTGATTTCAGTGGAATATTATTGGAAGTAAATGCTCATTTTCAAACAAAAAGGTTTAAGATTGCAATATTAAGATAGATATGTTAATCTTCTATTTTGTACCTTCTGAATAGTTTATTTGTTGAACGTAATATTGTGGATTTTTAGTCCTCTAGTATATTAATTTCAAAATGTACATTCAATGTCATTAGAGGAAAGGATATATTGTGACTACTGCTTTCTTAGCCATCTGCTTTTTAAATTATTATAAAATACCTAAAACAATTGAAGGTTAGTCCTATTGCTCATGCTGATGAATAATAATAATAATGTTGTCGGAGCATTTTTCTTTTTTATATATATACATAGGATGATATTCTGACTAGAATAACATCTTTTCCAGATACCACAGAATTTGCATCTTCTGAAATTTCTCCCAGCCAGTATTATGTAAAAATATTTATTACTATGTGTGTTGTTATGTTGAATTCATATCTGATTAATTTTCTAGAACGACCAACCATCCATGGTATGAACTCCCTACAAATCACATAACAACTGCTTTCTTTCATAATAATTTTGCTCCAAATACATGCAACATTTTATGATTTGTACATTACCCCTTCTATATGATTTGTACATTTAGTCCTTTTGTGCAATTGAATTGCAAGTGGTTTATCTCCTCCCTGCAGATGGAAGTTTTTTTAGTTTTACTACAAAATCTGCAATCTGTTAATCAAAACCTGCATCACTATTTAAGTTCAGAATATTTAATTTTAATATTTTTGGTGAATTTTATGTCAGATTAAATATATGCCTGCAGTTCTGAAGTGCAAATATTAGCAACAATCAAATTCCTTTTTGGAGCACCTTAACACTGAGATATGATGAATTAACAGTGTGTCTGCAATGTTTTAAAACTAATTTTTAGGGCTTAGTTAAGGTCCCTAAAATGGCTATATTTCAAAGCAAAAAACTTGATCATGTCAGAAAAATGTTTAAAAAATGCAGATTGAGAAGAGCAGCATTCATCCAGGTCATTATTGTTGGAAATATCAAAATATTTGTGACGATTTCCATTAGCACAAAACAGACAATCATGATAATGCTGATAGGATGTCAGAGATCTTTTTTTTAAAGGCTGTATGGTTCATCAGATTTATTCTACACAAAACATGAAAAGTTGCTATCTATTTTGATTTTTACACCAAATTTCAGATGACTGTATAATGAAATTGTCGCATTCTAACCTTTTCTATGAAAGAAGTACCCAAATTGGGCATTGTTTATTGCATTCTTATTTGTAATGTCAAAGAGTGGCTTTAATTTCAAGTGTTTGTAGATATAAACAAATACAGGGGCCTTAACCTAGTTATTGGGGTGAGTGTCACAAAATGCAGGGTGATGTGTGACTGAGAGGTTTTGCTCATAAATAGTATTTTATTCCAAGATTTTCCAGCACTGTTGGATCCAGATTGTAAATGTGCTGATTTCCCAGCAGTTAACTAAACACTATCTGTGAACTAAAAGAAAACTGAACTGAGGGCTGTCTGGCTCTTCTCCTGTTAACTATGTGAAGAACCAATGCCATTATGCCTGTGATCATTTTGGGTTAAGTAGATATGAGGATGGAGTTATAATAGTCGGTAACAAGGAGCAAGTTCTGACGCGCGTCAGTAACTTGCCGTATCCGCCATCTTGCCACCACCGGAAGTCCTACTGTGATTTGCTTCTAAAATGAAAGCTTGTAAAGGGCAGGTTTGGAGATCTCATCGGTAAAAATAAATTAAGCACTTTGTCCTTTTTAAAGAAAAATAGACAGACATTTCATTCATAATGTAGAAAAAATTCCATAGGTGCCTATTGTAGGATGGAAATGGATAGCCCATCTGCCCCCTCCCCAGCCCTGGAAAACTACATGGTCACCCCACACAATTTTTGCTCTCTTACACCCCCTCTCATTATGTTGACACCCAGAATGGCCAATACTGCCTGAAACCTTCAGGATAACAATTGGCTATTTGGCTTTTTTTTTTTTTTGCCTCCCTGCCATAAAAATATGTGATGTTAGTGTTGATACGGGGAGCTTACAGTGGAAAATAGTCTCAAGGGCTATGCTTTGAGTCTGCTTGTGGAGAGAAAATGCAGGTTATAAATAATAATAATAATAATAATAATAATAATAATAATAATAATAATAATAATTGCTTTGTTTACCCCTGCCTTAATGGATAAACAACATTGATTGATTTATAATAATGAAGTTGGTTGTAGATACTTGTCTGATGAAGTAGACACCTGATTGGTCAGATCATTGTGTTCATAGGTATTGGCTGGCAACCACAGTACATACAATTTGTATAGTTCAGTCATGTGTTGTAGAGACATTGTTTCCTTGCTTAAATCAAGTTATTATGAAACTTTACATTACCACCATTTTTTTATTGTTGGATCAGGACACAACATTTTACCAAACCAAAGATACCTTCTACCCCCCCTCCCCCCAACACATGTTATAAATCAAGAAACGACTGGCTTCGCCAGAATGAATCTAGTACAGAATTAGGCCCATAAGCAAACTTTTGAATTATCAGTGGGAAGTTATAGAACACACAAGAACTGGGTGATTATACCAGGGGTCCTCAAACTAAGGCCCGGGGGCCAGATATGGCCCTCCATGGTCATTTACCCGGCCCTCGCTCAGGCCCAAGCTAAGTCTGTAACGACTTGAAAACACACAACAACAACAATCCTATCTTATCAGACAAAAGCAGGCCCACACTTCCCACTGAAATATTAATAAGTTTATATTTGTTTAAATTGTTCTTCATTTTAATTATTGTATTGTTTTAAAGTGGTTTTTTTGCACTACAAATGAGATATGTGCAGTGTGCATAGGAATTCATGTAGTTTTTTCAAATTATAATTTGGCCCTCCAACAGTTTGAGGGACTGTGGCCTGGCCCTCTGTTTAAAAAGTTTGAGGACCACTGATTTACACTGTCAGCAGTTGTTTACCTAGACGAATGAGTGCTTCAAGTATTCTACCATTCTATCATAGAATGCAATAATCTGTGGCATATAAATTGTTCCTTGTTGAAAAACATTTAATATTTAAGCACTGTTCGTAAGATATATACTATACTATGTTTTACAGTACAAATTGGGTCAAGATTGGGATGTATTTGTATCTAAAATAATTTGGCAGTCCAATAGTATAATTGTGCAGTGAGCACAATAAATTATTAATGAAGTAAGATAGCTGTGGCATAAATATTAGAAATTGATTTCATGTCTGAATTCTTCTAAAAAAATCAGAGTTTTTGAAAGTGGTCTGCTTGTAGTAGGTAGCTGTCAGCCTTAAAACCATGTAATAATTTGAACATTTCCATTATAAGGTGTATGACATAAATTACCTAAGCTATTTCCTTAATGACTTTATAGGCTAAAATCAAGTTTTTGCTCCACAGCAAGCAAAATGCAGTTCCTGAGACTGATCGCTCCCAGTGGTTGTCCAAATAAATAGTATTTTTGCAGACAGCACAGTGTTTTGTAAGATAGCTGTCTTAGGAAACTTTTGACAAAGTTCATTTAATGCAGAGTCTATGCAAATACTTGTTAATGTGTATTAGTATAGTGCCTTTCCTTTAATGTTTTACAAAATACCTTAAAGGAGTAAATGCTGGAAGTTGGTAGATTTGCACACCTAGCTATTTTTGCGACAATAAGAATGGGGTGTAATGGAAACAAAAACCAACCACGTTAATAGACATATAGTTGATTCTCAGTTAATCTTGTGGGTGACTGTGTACATTCCATAAAGCATGAGTTTGTCAGGGGAAAAAAAATCTCATTTCTCTTTTTCCTATGTGAAACTGAGAAATGTAAATCCGAGGGAATCTATAGGGTTTTGGACAGTGCTGTCACAATCTATTGTCTTGTCCACCCACAGATGTCATACTAGATTCCCAACTTGTTAGTTGCCCATGTTCCTCTGTTTACTTTTCTTTCTCCCTAGTCCAACCTGACTCTTTTTTTGTTTTGGCTTTCCTGGGATGCTGCTGCTGATCTGCACTGTTATTTCTAACTTTTCCAGTAATTAAAAAAGTAAAAGCCAAAAAAACCCCAACTTTAATGAATTTCCTGAACTGTCAGGATTTGAAGAAGGAAGAAATGTAAGGAATTAAATCTAAATATAGATGCAGTACATTTGGTCTTTCTTCCAAACTAGAGCACCAGCGGGTAAGTTCCACTGAGATCATGGGACTTCTACAAACATATGTTTAGGATTAGAGTGTCTGCCTCACTTAAATACAGTTCAGAATCCACATTAATTTGCATAGCTCGTAAGTAAGTTACAGGGTAAATACTGAGAGAATCTGGAATGATTTGGCATTATATACAGTGCTTATATCGTTCTATTTGCTGTTTTGCATCTTGAATAAATAAAAATGTATGAGTGATTCACATGCATGCCCTTAATATATAGATAATAATCAAGGGCCTTTTATTTGTATTGTGGTAAGAAACAGTAGGGGAGGTTTTTTTTCTTCCTCTAAGTGGTTCCCAGACATTTGAGGGCAATCTGTTTTGATGCCTGTTATTTAGGATTTTAGATTCCTTGTGCTGCTAGTGAGCAGTGTTTCCTTCTTTGAAAACCCTCCTCACACAAATCTTGCAAGAGGGATCTCCATGTGAAAGACCAGACTTTAATACATACATTATTTCACAAAATTAGGAACCACATGGAGAGATCACTTCATGATGCCCTCCTGTAGTATGGTGCACTCTTCAGGTATATTCTTGTGAAAGTTGTTTACCTTCACTGCAGTGCAGTGAGATGCCTTTCTCATTGTGGTATTGTTCATCTTACTGAACAACCTGTTTAATCTGAGTAGATTGCAGAGGGTGTCACTCCTTCTTTGTAATATAACCAGAATTCTGTGTCCGGTAATGAACTAGATTTTATAAAACAAGAGCCAGCATTTTGGATATGAAAGGCATTGGCGAAACAGGCATAGGCTTCCTGTTTTGGTTTTTGTCTGTCTTTTGCGAAAGCAATGTAATAGTCTTAAGTACTGGAAACACAATAGGGAAATATACTGGCCCTAATCAGGAGAAGATTAGCAGTGCCTAAAGTTGCAAACAAGTGTACATGTGCTTGATAGTAAGACTCACTGATTTAGTGAAAACATACGCCTGTACATTAGGACAGTAGCTTAATGGCATACTTAAAATAAATGTGATTATTTGCAACTGTCTGCATTCTGCTAAAAATAATATAATTTAGATAAAGGTTTCTCGAGATTGCATATATATTTTGTAAACATAGAACCAATTCTTGGATGTATGATGGTCAGTACAACCAGCATTCCTAGCTTGGCTGTTACATTGCCTAACCTTGCTTCTGATGTTCAGCTCAGGACTATGATGCCGGAATTATTCCCTTCCTGTTTGCCTGTTGAAAATATTGTCCCCTTCTGCAGTTACTTTCCCATTTTGGGGGAAAAGATATAGGGACACACTGACCCAAGTGTGACTCATGTTCAAGTATGAGCGTATTACCCATTGATCTTAATTTTAGTCTTGAGTCTTAGATTTTATTCTGCCTCTCATGTCACCTGGTGGTAGAACCTACATAAAGTAAAACAAAATAATAGATTCAGGTATTTTGTGTATGGTGTTTGCACAGAGTGGGATCTGATAGAGTACTACCCCTTTTTTGAGCAGTGAAGTTATTTTTAGTTATATCTAGTGATAAATACTGACAGTCTCTGGAGGTTCCTCATGTGCTCTGTATTTTCAGTGACATTTCCTACTCTGTAATAGTGCCTCGCTTGATGATATCAGGTGGTTTTTAAAAAAGAGAAAACCCCTCATGTCCTAGGGACATAGAGCTTCCACTCGGCGTGTAAGAGAAGGCCTGGCTCACATACTTAGTGGGGAGAAAGCTCTGATTCATATTGAATTTGCTCACATCATTCCAAAAGGACCAAAAGGTTTTAAGAACTCCGGTGTTACTGAAGTGTTCTGCAGTTTTAGAACAGTTTTATTGCTTGTTATAATCAAGGCTTCTGGGATGAATCACAGGGCCTACCTTTCTGTTCACCGGCAACTATCTTGCTTTTCCTTAGCATGGTGTTCACCAGGTGAGGTGGAATGCAAGATGACAAGGGAACAAAGTTTGCATACAGTAGTTGATTTTGACAATTTACTGTCACCTATTTATGAATTTATAAGAAAAAAAGTTTATTTTTAAAAACCATGAAACCTGCTTTTTTTGTAAATTTTAGCAAAACTGTAGCAAATCTGTTGTACTGTGTATAATTAAAATGAGCATTTGGCTATTACATTGCATATGTGTGATTTATTAATGGTGATACATAACCATCATAGTTCATCAGCTAACTTTTAGTCATGAATTTTAGACACCAAATCTCTCCCACCCAAGATGCATCCCTTCCTAGAGAAGCGGATTTGTTCACAGTGATACAAACCTGCCAGTATGTAGCTTTTCCTAGTTTGATTGCTGCACCATGGTGCAGTCCTTGAAGAGTATTGCGAAACTGCAACTGATGTAAAATGCAGTAGCTAGATTTCTTTAAACCAGCATTGCCTTTTCACTAGTGGAAAGATTTCAATGGGAAACTCACAAGCAGGTCAACACACTTCCACAGCAACGAATATGTGTGCAGTTACACAGTTCAGTTATTTGTATGTGACTTTAGGGTTACTTCTGCCTACATGGTTAATGAGTGACAGAACCTATGCTGCTGGAGTTGTATCTTTTATTCAGCAAGATTTCTTCAGTGTGTTTTTCACTACTTAATCCAAAATAATTCATGTATTTTCCCCAGAATTCATTCACCTAAGACTAGGATTCTAGTTCTAGTTTATCTAGAACATACATTAATTGGCTTGCAAGTGACTTTTAAAATATACTGATGTTTCAATGATCACTCTTAAGTTCTTAGATCAGAGATTTCCAAACACATCATGTTGGTATCACTCCATTTTGATACACAAATCAGTTTTTAACACGGAAATTCAGTTTTACTAGCAAAACCACAAGTTAAACCAACTCCTTAAAAGAGATACAGGCATGTGCATAAATTGTAATAGCAAAATGCATGAGTACACAAAAAAGCTCATGCAGACCTTGCATTTATATTTTTTTAAATGTGTGATTTATTGCTTATGGCACATAGACTCAGAGGTATCTTGTTATGTTCGTGTACCTACACACTGCAGCTGATACACGAACATATCACAACACTGAGTTTGGAAAAGCTCTACCTTAGATGACGACTGGGTTAGGGACAAGGTCCATAAATCAATATTTCCATACTGAGTTCCCCAAGAACATATACATGCAGTCTGTGAGTTACAAACATCCCACTTACTCATGACTCATAGTTAAGAACAGGGATAAAACAACAGGAAGTGAGAAATCCACCCCTAGGAAGGGAAATTCACTCCTGGAAAAATCATGAGGAAAAGGTGTCTTCACTGAAGCTTTTCTTACCAATTCTTGTTTCTACAACAAGCCATTTTATTTTTCCAAATCCAGTGATCACAGAGACAAAATGAGGTGAAATCTTTTGAACAGGGGCAAAGGCAGCAAAACAAACACCACAGGGGTGTTAACCCTTCTCTATGCTATCCAAAGCTAAAATACAATATTTTGCAAGAATTACACTAAAATGTACCTGTTCCAACAAACATACAAATTCAACTTAAGAAACAAATCCACAGAACCTATCTTGTTCATAACTTGGGGACTGCCTGTAATTTGTCAATTTTAACATGGTGAGGCTTGGAACTTTAGCTCTGGTCACTGTTGTTTGCCTCATTTTCTCACACCCTATTTCAAAATACTGAAGGGGCTTCTATTTTCTCTTCTACTCCAACATATTATTGTATTGTAGCTCCTATCTCAGATCTTCCAAAGACAACTTTTCATAGGACAAAACAGTAAAGTTTCCTGGTAAGAACTAGCATCTTCTATTAGGTCCAGAAACAAAGAGAGTCAATGCAGCTGATAATGGAAAATATACACCAGAAATAGGCTTTAGTCTATTTTCACAAGTGCACAAGTATACCGCACAAGTGACTAGTGTTCTTATCTTTAAAGAAAAAAGTGACCACTACTGCAAAAAAAAAAAACCCAAAAAACAACACAACAGATTTTTAAAAATCAAAGGTCTACATCAGAATTTGTTAGATACAACAGATCATTGGAAGCCTTCTGTACTAATCTAATATTTGCAAGTGTGGCTAGTAATATTAACATTCATATAGAATCACAGGATTGGGCTGGATGTCCCCCGAAGTCCTTTTCAACATGCTAGCAATGCAGAAATCCATTGTTAAAAGCATGACTGAGAGATGACTATCTAACCTGTCTAAAAATCAACAAAGTTGGGTGTAAGAAATGAAAAGCACGTGAATTAAGGCTCTGTATTCATTTTTAAAAAGAAAATACTTTACTAGACAAATCTGTTAGTTAAAACATTTCAAAAACAGGTATGGCATGAAATAAGTTACTATTGAAGCATATACATCACTGAGATACATTATCTTAATAAGCAACAGACGGGAAGGGGAACTTCACTAGTATATATTTAAGCAAATGTGTAGTATAGGCATGATGGTTTGGAGTTTAAAGTTAAAACCAGAGGCCAAAGCAGCTGTCTGGCATTCTGCCACAGTGCACCATCATGATTAATAATAAAACTTCAGTGTAACTAAAGCTTAGCTAGTAAGCTAGGCAGCCAAAGGGCAAAGTCAATTGGGAGCTCTTACAGGAAGTTACTTAACACGAGTTAGACTTGAATACAATCCCATTTGACGGCATTTGTACATATTTATGCCTGATGGTTTGTATTCAGTCATTACAAACTCAAGTGAATTCCATCTTAAAGAACTGAAAAGTTCCACAGGAAGAGCACAGAATCAAGAGGATTATGGATGGAAACACCAAAGAGCGACCATAGGGGAAGGGAACACATGACATGGCCCTTCAAGAATGCTCTCGTATTTCTGGTGCCGCAGAGGTTGGCATTCCCATCCCACCTCCACAAATGCAAAGCTTCCTCTCTAACATGGCCATTCTGTGCTTTATGGCAGGCGGACAGGCTCAAAGAAGCAGCTGGCCACATCCCTGAGACCGGACATGAAATCATGACATTACTGCCAATATATGCAATGGTCATCCAGCCCACCTGCTTACCATGAAGCATGGCATGGCTACATGGCATACCTTCAGGGGCTTTGTAGTAATGTTACCCTGTAGAGATACTGTACTGAAGCCAAGGAGTTTATTTATTGTATTTCTACCTCAATGTATGAGATGTTCCTCCTCAGCATTCAGAACAGTAGGTTCAAGCTTTTGGGCTAAGCAAGGAAGTTAACACTCAGAAATCAAAATTCATATTGCGGCACTGACAACTAAAAGAAATAAGTGGCACATAAACTAAAATTTCAAAATAAATGAGGTTAGAACAAATAGGAGTAATACATTAGAAGTGTTAACACATATAAACAAAAACATGTTAGTGAATTCTTAGTAAGTGCCCCCACTTGTTTTTCAAAACAGAAAGGAGTATAACCATTAAGAGGCTGTTAAGAAGTCCTGAAATTTTCATTTGGTGCAAAGTTCTCCAGTTGGAAGATTAAGTCAACAGCAGCATCAACATCTGGCACAATGTGGTCTGGTTCTACTAAAGCTGGATCAAATCTGAAATCTCTGTGCCCATGAAACACAGTCTCAGTGATGCTCTCCCTTGTGTCAGAGGGGACTTCTGTGTGAGGGTTGTAAACCCCAGTGCAAACAAGGACAGAGTGGCAGCTTGTGGCTGAAGCAGATGCCAATTCACTCTCCCAGCTGTTGTCCAGTTCTTCTTCCTGAGAGACTGTGGTGGACCTTGTGCCTCCAGCTGCTTGGGCCTGGACACGGGCCTTGGAGCCTCTTCTGGAATTGTTCTCTTCAAGGTAGCGGTTGTAAAGGTTAGCACCATAAATATCTGTCATTAAGTTATCCCTAGAAAGCCAGGAGAGTTATATTGGGATTAATATAATGGATGTGTATGGATACAGCTTTTGTTAAAGAGATCAGGTTAAAACAGTTTGCTATTTCAATTTTGATTTTGTTTACAAGTCTGAACATCCCTTCTCTGGAATTCAAGTACCCAAAATATTCCAAAATTGTCCATACGAGTGGTTCAGATAGTGTCACGTTTGTTTTATAATGTTCTATGTTCACACACTTTGTTTCATGCACAATGTATATGAAACACGAATAAATATGTATATATTTGAATCCCAAGATATTTCCAAAGCAAATACAGGGATTTAAAAAAAAAATCTTAAATCAAAAATACTTCTGGTCCCAAGTATTTTGGATAAGGGATAGTCAAACTGTATTAAAGTTTGGTGCAATGCTTTGAATGACACACATCCCATATAGCAGCCTATGAGCTTGAGACATGCATATCTGCAATCTTTAGGTAAATATATTTTTCTTAATCATAGCTCAGTGGAACCAAAAACCCAACAAAGTGTGAAAAAAATGTCTCTGTACTTTTAGAGAAATAAAGCTCAACCTATTTCATGGAACTGTGGCATGTTCTTTAGAAAGACTCGTGAATAGATCTGATATAAAAAGTGTACAACGCCACAGTATTGAAGTGTGTGTATATATTATAAGTTCACAACCGTTAGCACTTCATGACTAGCTGGATTTTTCAAACACATATCAGTAAGACGCCCAAATAGCTAAGTGTGAACTTTGAAGATTCAAAGAACTTGTCATCTTAGGACCTCTACATTTATTTTGAGGTGCATTTTTATATTCTTATTACAGGAGTGAACCAAGTAATAACACACTAACTCAGATATGGGCAAACGCAGGCCCGGGGGCCAGATACGCCCCCTTGGGCTCTTTTCTCAGGCCCTCCTCTTGCTCACCACCCTATCCTTGCTTCTCTCTTTCCTTCCCTCTTTTTCTTACCTCCCTCTTTCTCCTTCCATCCTTCTTTCCCTCCCACCTTTTTGTTCTCCCTTCCTTTTCTCTTTCCTCCCTTCTCTTCCTTTCTCCTTCCTTCCTTCTCTTTCCTCCCTCCCCTCCCTTCCCTTCTCTTCAACCCTTCCTTCCTTACCTCTCTCATTCTCCCTTCCTCCTTCTATCCCTTCTACCCTTATGTCCTTCCTTCCCTCTTTCCTCCCTCCTTCACACTCTCTTTTTCCTCCCTCTCTCCCTCCTTTCCTTCCAACCTTCTCTTCCTCCCTTTCTTCCTCCTTTCTTCCTGGGGGATGTTTAGCTGGGGGAAGAGGAGTTAGAGAGGGAACATGAGAATCATGTTTCAAGATTTAAAAGGGTGTCCCATTGAGGAAGAAGGAGGGGGAAAACTGACTTTCTGCTGCTCTAGAGACCAGGGCACAAGGGAGCAATGGTTTCAAATGGCAGGGGAAAAGGTTCCACTGAAAAGATTAGGAAGAATTTCCTGAGAGTAAGAGCTGTTGGAGAGTGACATAGGCTGCCTTGGAGTGTAGTGGAGTCTCCTCTTCTGGAGGCTTTTCTGCAGAGGCTATCTATTGGATTGTGCCTTCCTGCATGGCAGGGAGTTGGACTGAATGGCCCTTGGGGATCTCTTCCGACTCTAGGATTCTATACCAGGAGTAGGAAATAAGGGAGGGGTCTAATGGATACACTTTTTCTCTCCCATCCACCATCTCATCCTGACCAAGACCAACTCTTTTGGGATCCAAACGTTTCCTGTATTTCCTTCAATTTCTGTCTCCAAAAGAGAAGAGAAAGGGGAAGAAAGGGCAGGGAGGGGGCTAGGGGAGAACCCCTCCCTCCCGGGCCTGCCCACCCCACTACAGCCTACCATGCGGCCCCCAAGTTAGAAAGTTTGCCCATGCCTGCACTAACTGAACTAAAATACATGCTCATAGTGTTACTTCGGTTCCCTTCCACTTGTACTTTGTGAAACTTACTATTAATAACCACTTATGAATAGGATCTGTAAATGGGGGCTTATCTTTGTATATAGCTTGATTCAAAATATCTGCAAGTTTTAATCAACTACCTGTTCTATCCACTTTTAAGTTAATGATTACAATATTCCTTACATTTCTGTACCATATCCTCCTTTAATCCTGTAACAATGCTTAACTTGAAATATCTCTTTTCTCTTAAGTGAATGGGAAATGAGATGGCAGTAAACTTTGGCTTACTTTTTTTTTTTACAAAGTGTGTTAATTTGCTACTATCTACAATAGGAATGTTCTGCTGAAAAATCTCTTACCCAATTGCATAGAGAGTTTTAATGGGTTTCTTCCAATCTTTTGCTGCTGCTTGTGTTCTGATCAAGTACTCTGCATAGTGATACGTCAGTGCACTAGGCTTCCCCATCAAAGCTTCATATTTCAGCTCCTTGCCAGTAATCTTTTTGTAAATATTTTCCAGACAAACCATGAACGTTCCATGTCCAAACCTAAAATATATAAATGGTTTTGTCAATGAGAAACAACCACAGTAAAAAAATAAATCACATATGAAAAGACCAAACAGGTCATTTGTTAGTCGAAATTTGTATGTCAAGATACCACATTGCTTACTTAGTTATGAATGTGGAACTACACAATGTCTCATATCCAACTCCCCCCCCCCAAAAAAAAATCTTCAGAAAACCTGGTTATTTAAATATGCTTTTGACAGTGATTAGCCAATCTCTAGAATATGGATTTATCTCGATGGGATAGCAAGCCCTTTTAGCTCAAAGGAATGACTGTGTTTTAATCAAATGTTCAGAATGTTATTGGCAGTTTTGTTGTTTGATTGTACTGTATTTTGTGTTATATATTGATTGGATATGTTATTAATTGTTTGTTTCCACTTTATGTATTTATTGTATTATCTATGTTGTAAGCCACACCAAGACCCCTGGGAAGAAGGGGTGGGATATAAATAAACATTATTATTATTATTATTATTATTATTATTATTATTATTATTATTATTATGAAACAGCAGCTGTTCTGAGTAATGGAGCAGCTCTTCAGCTGGCAACCGAGACACAGTAGAATGAAATTTTCATTCCCCTTCTGATCATATGCTCAAAACATCAGGGGCTTTAGCACTCACAATTGGAAATTTGTGTCCTACCTTGGAGACTGAGCTTCAGCTGCCCACATCAGATCCATATTACAAGCCAATACAGGAATGTGGGTGTTTGTTCCCTGGGGATATGGATTTCCAGGATAGCCACTTGTCAAAAGGACATCTATTATCAACTGGAGGTTAGTTTCCCATCTCACTGGCTCACCAAACAAAATAATTGCTGCAAGACACACACAAAGACGCATACACACACATATGAGGTTTGTGACTTTTACTGCATATCACAATGTAATATTTCTAGTTTACAGAACCTTGAATAATTCCAGTGGGGGAAATAAATCTATGGTTCATAATAACATATTTATGCTACTGTCAAATGGTTTTCTTCAGAAATTAAAACGGTTAAGGGTTGCTGGAATCGTCATCTTGGGTAGTCAAATCTTATTTTGCACAGGCTTTGAAAGGCTTATACTTTTGATACCAACCTATTTATTTATATGCTGCTTTTCCCTACCCATGAGGGGGACGGGACTCAAAGAAGTTCACAATGAAGTGCGTAAATGGCTAAATTCAATGCTTCACAAAAGATAAAAACACATAGCATATAACAATAAATTAAAACCAGTAGACTATAAAACCTCAAACACTGGCAATATAAAACAGCGCCAATGCCAAAGTTATCATGGCTGCTTCACCTCACTTTCCAAATGCTTGCTTTAAAAGCCACGTTTTAAGTAGTTTCCTAAATGGCAGGAGGGAGAGAGACAATCTGATCTCGCTGGAGAGAGAGTTCCACAGACAAGGTGCCACCACTGAGAAGGCCCTGTCTCTTGTCCCCACCAGTTGTGCCAGCAAGGACAGTGGGACTGAGAGCAAGACATCCTCAGATGACCTTAATGCTCTAGTTGGCTCATAAAGAAAGATACGTTTGGATAGGTCAGCTGGACCGGAACCATTTGGGTCTTTATAGGCTAACACTTTGATTTGTGCTCGTAGTAAACCAGCAGCCAGTGGAGCTGGCTCAAAAGGGGGGTAGTATTCCTTCTGTAAGTTGCTCCAGTTAGAAACCTGGCTGCTGCCTGTTGGACTACTTGAAGCTTCCTAACGGTCTTCAAAGGCAACCCTACGTAGAGCGTGTTGCAATAGTCTTTATGAGATTTAACGAGAGCATGGCACACCATGGCTGAGTCTGACTTCCCAAATTATCTATTAATACTGAAAAATGTTAAGGCCTCTGTAATATGATTTGTTTGGCAGAAAGAGTCACAGAATAGTTTGGTGTTAATTGTGTATATATGTTATTTTGTGCTGCAAATTTCAGTAACAGTCTGTTTTCCAATATGAACTAGGCTGATGTTTAGTTATTACTGACAGATTTAGCACAATGCTTTAGTATTTTTAAAATCGTATACAGTATAGAGATTGTATAGCTGAGACTGAAATCATCATAGTGCAGCTCCAGGTAGCAGATTTAGAAGAGTATAGAAAATACAAAGATAGAAAGCAATATCCAGGCTAAATGAGTAGCAATATTCTTGTGAAATAACTTGTATTAAACAAGGAATGTACACTGCTCATAACAGCCATAAACCTGATTTATAAACATGTAACAATACACTATTTTTAAACAATGGCTACTATCCATTCTACTTTTTGTAAGAATAAGTTAGAACACAATTAGAATATGAGACATACTGACCCTCGATCTTGGGAAGCTCAACTGCAGGCGGATGCTGCAAAGAGAAAAAAAAGCAGCCTTACACTAGTCTGTATTCTTGCGAAACTCGTTTCACTTACTCAGATATGCCAGTACTATATTTTTAAGGACCAGAATTTCCTCAGATAAGTTTCAAATCTCTAGTTCAGCCAGAGTAAATAATCTTGCCTGCTTTATTTTACCATTAGGCTCTGGGTATTTCTATATAATCCAGTTTCAGTATTTCACAAGGTGTGGAGATGAATAGTAAAAATATAGTCTTCTTGCATTTAATTTCATTTATTCTCTACAGTGTATGTCTTCACGCATTCATAAAATACAAATACAGGCAGTCCCCAAGTTACGAACATGTATTGTCGAAGGCTTTCATGGCTGGAATCCCTGGGTTGTTGTGAGTTTTCTGGGCTGTATGGCCATGTTTCAGAAGCATTCTCTCCTGACATTTTGCCTGCATCTATGGCAGGCATCCTCAGAGGTTGTGAGGTCTGAGGATGCCTGCCATAAATGCAGGCAAAACGTCAGGAGACAATGCTTCAGGAACATAGCCATACAGCCCAGAAAACTCACAAGAAGCAAGATAGGTTCCGTAGGTTTGTTTTTAAGTTGAATTTGTACGTCAGTCAGAACATGTACATTTTAAAGTGTAACATGAGCCCTATCTATCTATCTATCTATCTATCTATCTATCTATCTATCTATCTATCTATCTATCTATGCAAGCTTTGGATAGCATAAGGAAGGGTGAACACCCCTATGGTGTTTGCTTTGCTGTCTATTGCGCCTGTTCAGAAGATTTCATCTCACTTTCTGTCCCTGTGATCACTGGATTTTGAGAAAAAATGGCCTTTGTTGTAGAAACAAGGATTGGAGTGGAGACATCTTTTCCCCATGATAACTCCTTTTCTTAACTATTAATTGTAAGTTGGATGTTTGTAATTTGGTGACTGCTGTATATTAGTTATTAATCACAAAAATCCTCTTCACAGTTAATTTCCACAATTTACACAACATTATTGAGAAAGCAGTTATACTACACACAGCTAACTGCCATCAAATTACACTTAGCCAGATCCAATCAAGCCAGAATATCTCACAAAAACTTCAAATAAGTTTTGTTTCCTTGCCTTTCTTTGAAATTCACTAGATACACTTCAGCACAGGGGAAGAAATAATAATAATAATAATAATAATAATAATAATAATAATAATGTTTATTTATACTCCACTTTTTCTCTCCACAAGGAGACAATTTAAAATTCAAAATGCACCCAGGAAACAGAAGGGAAACAAACAAAAAGTCCTTTCACAAAAAAAAAATATAGCTACATCTACAAAATGCATAAACAATGTAAGTTTTTAGAGGGTTAGGTTTTGATCTACCAAGTCTCCTTAGACCCTTCCTACCGATAGGAGAAAATGCTGAATTGAACTGCTGGTTCTTGGAAGCGTTTCCTGATGTTTGTGCCCTGTTCTCTCAGCTGCTGCCTAATCTCTTCCAAGATCAGTCAATACTGAGTAAACCTAAGGACAAACTGTACAACCTTTTAAATGATGCAGGCAAGATAAAACAAAAGACAATTAAATGTGCCTTCCTTTAGTCTACACAACAAATATGTTTTTGGCACTTAAGCTAGTAGTGTACCTTAAATCCAAGACACAATAAGATCATTTCAACAATAGACTAATTTTAGGGCCAAACTCCAATGCTAAGTTGAATACCCCTGGTATTATTGGTGTTTTTCATTCATTTGTTTTTATCAGCAGACAGGATTCACTCCCTGTTCTCAGTCAAATTACTATGTCCACCGGGAGGGAAAGTTTCCAATGCTAAACTCCAAACTAAACTCCATAAAAACACTAGTAAATTTAAAACACATATATGCACATGGGCCAAAACTGCCTGACTTCATCTAGACCTGGATCAGATATGATCTGACAATGAATAATCTTGAAAGTTTGTTTTAGAAAGTTCACTGAAAAAGCTCAACGAACATATCTGATTTTGTGGTGGCAGTGGGGCAAAATCCATGCTGTTAATATCCAGAAAACACTGTGATGTTGGCTGAATAACCTGGTGAACTCATGACGTATGTGGCCTCATTTCCTATAATTTCATAAACTAGGCACAAAGCGGGAGAGGGACGAATGAGGGGCACAGCTTGATACTTGGTGGTGGGGCATCATCTTTGGGCATCTGCTGTCTGCTGAAGCACTACAGGAAATGGGCAAGAAGGTAGCCTACAACTGACCATGGATTATGGAGATCGTGAATGCTGAAAGAAAGCAGGGTAACTGCGAGGATCGTTGGCACTGGTGTGTTTAATTAGCTACATGGCTCTGTGACAAACAAGCTTTTGTGAGTCTTGTGTATCTTTTCCTCAGTGTTGTACTGGTGAGGGCAGAATTGGGAGGTGAAGAGGAGAAAGATAATCTGTGAGAATAATAATAAACTTCCACGTGAGTAGATAGCAATCTCAATAATCTCACAGCAATCATCACATACTAAAAAACAAAGCCCATGTGCCCCAAAGAGCAGGGAAACTCTGAGTTAAACTGATAGCAGGAATATCACAGCTAAACTGGATTCCAAGTGGGGAAAGTATAAGCCTTGTTCGTCATCAGAAACCATAAGAAACTGCCATTTTTTGCTTATTTATGTGTACACTACAAGATTTGTGTTGTAGTATCCATGTTTTCTTGTTTCAGTTACAGAACAGACCACTTTCATGAGAGGGTGTTGAAAAATAACACAAATACTTACCAAAACTTTAGGTCTTCGGTCATGGTCCACCATATCCAATAATGGATACGTCTCTCGTAGTTTGTCAATTGTAATTGGGTGAAAAAATCCAAGACTAATTGATGTTGCTAGTTATGGATAACCATCGGTATTCTATAGAAATGCACAACTTTACCTTGCCAAAACATCATAAGCAATTCATTTGATTTGACTGTGATAGTCTTAAGTTAAAACTTTACCACTCTTTGACAAACATGTAAAAGAACAGTAAGAAAGAACTCTGGCCTTGAATAATCTTTAAGCACCACTTTTCTTTGCTCACTGTGGCCCCTACAGTTGGAAGCTGATGTCATTTTTTCCTGAGTAGCATTGTTAGAACAAGTTCATATTAACTCTTTAGCTACTTATACTTGGTCCTGAAAAATGTAATTAGCAACAGGTCTTACTGGTTTCAAGAATATCTATAGGAACATTATTTAAAGCTGCATGGTAAAAGAATGTATTTTGTTGTATTCATGCTCTCAACCAAAGATAAGTGCCCACAAGAGTCTTTCAAACCAACAATTTTTGAGGGAAACATGCATACTTTTTTTAACCTCCTCACCTCACTGTCCACAAAGCACACCCATTAAGCAAGATGAAAACTAAGTAAAAAATTCAGAATTTTAAGCTTTCAAAAATGGATGATCTTTTTTGTTTTTGTTTTTGTGGTCTACCTTGGCTCCAATCTTTGCAGTCCCACAGAAAAAACCTAAATCTATCACATCATCTGCCGAAACCTCAAGTGGATAGGTAATACTAATAATAATGTTATTTATATCCCACCACCATCTCCCAAAAGTGGCTTACAAAGCACATGGTAGAGCAGTGGAATATACAAATACAGTAAAACACATCACACAAATACAGTAAAATACATACCAATTGTAAACAATAACAGTGTTGATAGCGTTAAAACCCCTATTAATTAAAATACTCAATAAAATGCGGCAATAGTTGTGGATAAAATAGTTGTATCAATTTCAGTCACGTTAAGTGCCCGAATCAAACAAGTGCTTGATCCTCAGGTATAAACTAATGTTAGCCCTCTCTGAAGCTCTGCTTAAAAAGCCATGATTTCAAGTTTTTTCCGAAAACCTTGGAGTGTGGGGGCTAGCCTAATTTCTCTGGGGAGGGCATTCCAAAGCAAAGGGGCTACCACCCAGAACGCCCTCTCCCTTGCGCCACCAAGCACTGCTAAAACCGAGGTGGGACAGAGAGGACCTCCCCGGTAGATCTTAGAGGCCAAGCTGGTTCATAGGGGGTTACGAAGATAGGAAGGACCTGAACTGTGTAGGGCTTTGTAGGTGCACTTTGAATTGGGACCAGGAACTTGTCAATGTAGGCACTGAGTTTGACAGGACCCTGCACACAGACACATTTTGTTTCAAACTACTTTCTCAAGAGATCTGGAGACAGCTTACATGTGTTTTTGTGTCCTTCAGGCTGACCTAATACAGAATGAAACAATCCAAACCTACCAGAGTTCTGCACAAATCCCAAATCTCTCCCAAATAACTAGAGCTTGGAAACGTTATCTCTTGGGATCTTGGCTCTGGGTGTTTAGTTCTCTTGGCCTCCCAACTTTTCTGAGGTCTGTGCTCAATGAGAGACCACTATTTTTGAAAGGATACTGCTTAGCAATGTCAAGAAGTGGACCTTGACCTGATACAAGAACACATTTGTCATGGTAACGTCTGAACATTCGCAAAGGACTGTGGGACATCATGACTTGGTCTTGGGAAATCTAGTAGAGGGGAAAAAAGACAGCTGTAATCATTTATATTTTTTTCTTTTATCCTAGGCAACCTTCTTCATGAAGATAATACTAAGGATTTGTTTTTCCAAAGCAGACAGCTGATGCACATGTTCCTCCCTCCCCCTACAACTAAGGCTGGACCTATACGACCATATATCCTAAGATCTGATCCCAGATTATCTACATTGAATTGGATTATGTATGTCTCCACTGCCATATAATTTGGGATAAGAAGATAATCTAGGACCAGATCCTGGGATATAGGGCAATGAAGGGGCCTAAGCCTCAAACCATATCAGCAAATATTAATATGACATCCAACACAGTACTGAGGACACAGAATTCTTACTTTTAAGGGGGTTACTGTTCTTATATAGAACTACACAAAATTAGCCCTGAAATCATGTAGCTAGTAAATAGTTGATGAATCCCTTTCAAATGAGAAATTCTAAAAATGACTTGGAAAGGTACTGCATCTTTGTGAAAAAAGAAAAGTAAGAAAGGGTTAAGAGACCGCCTTGATGAATGTGATACAAAATATAAAGCAGACTAGCTATATATACATATATATTAAAATTCATTATCATGGATTATAATCCAAACATAGTCAGGAGACACTGAAGTTACTCACGGGAATGCCAAGGATATGGGACAGCTGGTCTGCTTTCTTCTGACGAAGACAGTTTCCTGCATTAGTGACAAAGACTACAGGCACCAAAAATTCTCCCTGAGAGTTAAGAAGTTTTTGAAAGGCTTTTCTTGCTGCAGGAATTGGCGTCTTCCCTCGCACCAATACTCCATCGATGTCAAACAGGAAGCCAAAGGTAGGTTGTTGTATGTTGAGCTGAAGTCAGGAATTAAAAAGCAAGTGTTTAATATCTCACCAACAGTTCATTTCTACTAAAACTTACACTCATAGCATTATTCTTTTGCTTTATGTAATCAAGACACTTGCCTTTCTTCCAAAGTCGTCCGTCCCCTTTTTAATACAATAGTCTCAGGTAAAAGATAAAGGTTGTCCCCTGACAGTCATGTCTGATTCTGAGGTGTGGTGCTCATCTCCATTTCTAAATGGAAGAGCCAGCATTGTCCATAGACACCTCCAAGGTCATGTGGCCAGCATGACTGCATGGAGCGCCGTTACCTTCCCACCAGAGCGGTACCAATTGATCTACTCACATTTGCATGTTTTTGAACTGCTAGGTTGGCAGAAGCTGGGGCTGACAGCGGAAGCTTACGCTGCTCCCTGGATTTGAACCTGCGACCTTCCGTCAACAAGTTTAGCAGCTCAGTGCTTTAACCCACTGTGCCACCAGGGGCTCCTTAGAGTCTCACTTATCCAACATAAATGGGCCAGTAGAACATTGGATAAGCGAAAATGTTGGATAATAAGGAGGGATTAAGGAAAAGCCTATTAGATGTCAAATTACATTATGATTTTACAAATTAAGCACCAAAACATCATGTTTTACAACAAACTGACAGAAAAAGCAGTTCAATACATGGTAACATTATGTAGTAATTATTGTATTTATGAATTTAGCACCAAAACATCATAATGTATTGAAACAGCTGTGGATCCAGGCAAGAGGCAGACTGCATTGGATAATACAGAATGTTGGATTAGCAAAGGTTGGATAAGTGAGACTCTACTGTCTCTACAGCAATTCACCCAGGGAGAGTCATGGCTATGTGGCAATCTGAACCTCACATCACCACACTGGTCCTAATCCAAGACTTTAAACCAGGCCTCCCCAATCTGGTCACAATCCACTCCAGCTCCCAAAGTATTCAATGGGCATTCTAGTTAGAGATGATGAGAAACACAGTCCTAGACATTTGGAAACAAGAAATTGCAAGAGGCTGTTCTAGAGACACTATATTTCCTCCAAAGACTTAAAAATAGCAAATGTGAAGTTATCCCATTTTATTCTCCCAGTTATCTTATGAGATCAATCATGCTGAGGTCATATAAGACTGACCGTGATAGTGAACTTTTATAAGGGAGTGGAGACTTGAACTGGTCCAAGTCTAGTACTCTTTATTAACCACCAAAATACATAGTTCTACTGGAACCCTCAACTATTAAAAAACCAAAAGGTTCACATACCATAAAGATTAATGTTTGACAATAATATCTGAAACTAAAGGATGTCAGTTAGACATGCATCAAGACACATTTCAACACTGGAAAAGATCTATGTCAGATAAAAGTTCCATAAAGAGTATTGCTGGGGTCTTAATAACAGGGCCTCACACTCTGGGTTGCTTTTAAACACTGCATGAGCTATAAATATTTCCACATTAATTAATTATGTAACCTTTGCTTTATCTCAGCATGCGCTCAAATAATGTTTTATTCCTTCTAAAGCCAATTTGTACTGTTTGAATAGACACAGTTGGCAAGAAATTAACAAAAACAAGTATTTAGGTCAATCAGCAGATTTTCCACTAATGGATTACATGACTAAGAAATCACCCAACATTGAGACTTAAGGAAAGCCACCTACACGAATTTCAAGCATGTACAAACACTGACTTACTTCAATATTGTACTCTGCAAATATTCATCACTTGAAGTTCGTGTTAATGGGGAGAATTGCCTCACGTTGTCTAGTACAGTAAAGTAAAAGTTTCCCCTTGATATTGAGTCTACTTGTGTCTGACTCTACAGGGTGGTGCTCATCTCCATTCCTAAGCCAAAGAGCCAGGGTTGCCCAGAGACACCTTCAAGGTCATGTGGCCAGCATGACTGGATGGAGCACCATTTGTCTAGTATAGATCCCCTTAAATCTAAACAGTGCTGCCCTGAGTCACCTGCGGGCTGAGAGGGGCGGTATATAAATGTAGTAAATAAATAAATACTTTAAAATAATTACTTTTTCAGATGATAACTCCTAGAATTCACCAACTGCTCTGCTGGTCAAGGATTCTGAGAAGTGTAGTCCAAACAAAAGACTCTTCCAAGCTCTGGTTACAATTCTTTGGGAATAGATAGTACACACTCTGCTGATTGCACACTCATAGATGCATAGAAGATGCTGCTGGTAGTGCTGTGTGCCTTCAAGTTATTTCTCACTTATGTGAAGTGATCATGGGGTTTTCTTGGCAAGATTGGCCTGCCCAATGTCCACTGAGCGGACATTTGAACCCTAGTTCCCTACAGTCCAAGTCCAATGTGCAAAGTAAAACATCAGAAAGGACGCCTTTGGGTCAGATATATCATCCTTCTTTGGAGTTTCCTTGTAGAAACCTTTAGATCAATTTAGCGGGTGCTGTGGTATTGAACTCTGAATATGTTTAATGGTTTCTTAACTGTTGAATTTTTAATACTGTTTATATTTAATTCTGCTTTAACGTTTGTATGTGTGTGTTTTTAAATTTATGCAAATGCTTTTATGTTAAGATGCTTTGAATCTCCTCTGGGAGAGACAAAGCAGGGTATAAATAAATATTAGAAAAAGAAAAAGAAGAAAAAGAAGAAAAAGAAAAAGAAGAAGGAAGCCTTGGTGGTGCAGTGAGTTAAACCACTGAGCTGCTGAACTTGCTGGCTGAAAGGTTGATAATTCGAATCTGGGGAGCTGAGTGAGCTCTGGATGTTAGGCCCAACTTCTGCCAACCTAGCAGTTTGAAAACATGCAAATGTGAGTAGATCAATAGGTACCGCTTCTGCAGGAAGCTAACGACACTCCATGCAGTCATGCCAGCCACATGACCTTGGAGGTGTCTACGGACAACGCAGGCTCTTCGGCTTAGAAATGGAGATGAGCACCAACCCCCAGAGTCGGACACGACTAGACTTAATGTCAAGGGAAACCTTTACCTTTACAATTATTATTATTATTATTATTATTATTATTATTATTATTATTATTTGAGGATCGAACTGCAAAGACTCTGGCAGAAGCCAGTAAGGTGGTCCCAGTGGTGATTGGCACTCTGGGTGCAGTGACTAAAGACCTTGGCTTGCACTTAAACACAATCAGCGCTGACAAAATTACCATCTGCCAGCTGCAGAAGGCCACCTTACTGGGATCTGCACGCATTATTCGCCGATACATTACACAATCCTAGACACTTGGAAGTGTCCAATGTGTGATCCAATAGAGTGTCTGCTGTGGACTCATCTTGTTATGTTACAAACAATAATAATAGAAACAAGATGTTTTACTTAGACAATGATAACCTCCCTTCCTTATGAATGATATAGGAAAACTCAAGGAAAACACGACAATAAAGCCACAAAAAACTCCTTTAAAGAAGGGGATTTACACTGCACACATATATTCTCTGAAGTGGTCAGGGGGGAGAAAGTGTTAATGGCTGTTTGTTTTCTGTCCAGCCCGTCTGCTCTACCTCTCCTTTGTTCCTTGGCAAACCAGAACTTCTTTATGGAACAGGAGACTGTTCGGTGTGTAGTGGCCTCCTACCTGAGTATGGGTGCCTTTCAAAACATGAACTGGGTTGGCTGTTAGCTTCCTAAACTGAAGCACTCAAATGTCTCCTTTCTCAGGCAGATGGCAACCAAACATTAGGTGGCTGTCCAGATGAAGTGGAATGCCAGAGAGCTTGGGGGGTGGGAATACAAAGCTAATTTAACAGACAACACATCCCAATGGAATTGATGGTGCATAGGATTGCATTGTAACTGCATCCTAAGCAACTAAATTCAAAGGGATTTGCTGTCTATCAAATCTCTTTTGGCTGGTGATTGTAAGAATTCCTCTTTTAAAGTATAGGGAAAACATATTTTCTATGATCCCAACACCGTTTAACCCACTTTAAAATGTCTTATAATAGAGCCAACAAGATCGGAGGCTGGATTAATTTTTCTCTGGAGATGTAGGCAACCAGCATTGGAATTGGCCAGATCTTGTGGATTTAGGTTCTGTTTACTAAGAATAGTATATTCAAAATGGAAAGATTTCTCTGGCAACATAAACTGATTGTTCTCACCACAAATACCTTAAGATGACACAATCCTCAAATTTCAGCAAAACTAGACAAGTAAAAACACTGGTAAGCAGTCTGCATATTAATACTTCACTGAAAAGATTTGATCAAAGCAGCCTTCTAATTAGCATTTGAATGTTTTGAAAGACTTGGCAAGAGAGCATGTTTATGTTTGAAACATGCCAATAGATATTACTTCACAGCTTTACATGGGCAATTGCCACTCTAGTCTCTTGAGTAGATTAAATCTGGTCCCAGAGGAATCTCAAAACCTCTTTAAGAGTCTCAAAGCATAAAATAATATTTTCAGAACTTTGCTTACTGCTAAGGGTTAATGTTTTTGTCACGTCCACAGAACAAACGCTAGCACAAGGAAAATCATATGCAGTGTATGTTGCCCCTAGTTATATCTTGCCGAAGCAGCACAAAAGTTCATGTTATCCCTGAAGCGTGACACAAAGGAAAGAAAGTTTCAGTTAAGAAACCTGGACTGCTTTCAACTCTTGTAAAGTTTTAATACATTGTGTATTTATGTATGCTTTTAAACTGCGACCCAACCAAGGAAGGAGGAAAAACTAAAACTAATATTTGCGTAAGTGTAGTCACTTAGTATTTTCCAGTTACTTGCAAGTTTTTACTGTATTTAATAAAAAAATAACATTGAAAAATTCCCAAGGGCCATGAGCCATCATGTGTGTAAGAGATTCTATTAATAGGTGGTTTAACACACTACGGGCTTTCAATGTTCATTCAAGCTCTACAGCGATAGAAAATTATAGCAGTTGAGACCACACCTACAAAAGGCAACATATTTAGGCTGGTGCTGCTCAAAGCAATGATCCCTGGACCAGTGCCTGTTCACAAGCCATCAACGGCAAGTCCATGGCATAT